GGGCATGCCATCCACAGGCATCGCCGGCCCAACCGGCCCTTCCTACGGCCACTTCGATTCCACGGTCATTTTTTTTTGTTATCGCCTCACTAAGCTGTTAATCGTCCACTCCCATTTTATTCACAACTACATTACACGTAAATTAAATAGCATTACTGAAAATTGCTTAAATCCATCGCAGAACTTAGCAGAATACGTGAATTACTCCTCTTTTAAAAGTTTAGCAGCTAAGAAACACTGATGACAAAAACTTCTTACCAGATAAAGGAATAAACCTACAAGATAAGTAGCTCAACTATTTGCAAAAATGTGTCAAACCACGAATATTTAAACAAAATATTAAATATAATAAATTACTAATCAGAAAGTCTGCCTGCCTGCTGACAATCTGACAAGTGCTACTTGGTATCTGAATGCAAAAGAGAATGTTTACTTTGAAGGCAAACTCTTTTGATCAGGAAAGCCTGTATAGTAAATACAGTGGTAATTTCCTCGGTAAACCAGAAGTCTATCCAAACACCTTCATGCACAGGTCCCCTTAGCAAAGTTATCACAACTGCAGAAGTCTTCGTCCTCTCTCAAGGGTTACAAGCAGTGGTATCTCCTTTGTCACTAGACTTCTACTGGAAAACAGCAAGTTAATGGCAGCTCTCACTGAGAGATACGATAGCAGAATCATTCATAATTAGAAAAATTAAAATAATGGGATTTTAAAACGGTTCAAAATGTTGGTTTTTTTTATATATATCTCTCTATCTTTGTAAAAGTATTAGAATCAAATCACAGACCTCTTCATTTAAATGGCCCCTCAATGAGACCTACCAGTCACCAATTACCAATTCTGCGCCTGTTCCCACTGTAACATCATCTGTCTTTCGCTGGAGTCTTGTTATTTGGAAGCAAACCCACGCACACGACTAGCGTCAACCTCTTTGAAAGTCCTGCTTAGAACCTGCATGCACGCTTCCCCAAATTAATTACTGGGAAAGTTCACACAAGAAGCAGCACTTTGTACCCTCCCATTGGGAGGGGGACACTAATAAACAGCCCGGAATACTCATTCTAAGCAAAATTCCTCGTTTTCAAATAATTGCCTCCGGTTTACAGACGGTGAGCATAGGTCTAAGATTTTAGATTTGATTTGGCAGAACATCTTCGAATCTGCACATTTGCATATTTAAGCCTATAATAAATCAAGGTGGCAACTTAGAATTTAAGTTAAACATTATTCTTCTAACCTTTAACAAGAATAAAAATTTATAACTAAGGAAGTTATAAATTACTCAACCTTCACCTTAAAAATAACAGCTAGCACCAAGAGTCTAGGATAAAGATCTCCTGCGGAGAAAGTGGCCTTTAGCAAAGCTATTTAACCGCTAATGATTTGTTTTATACACATAGGAAACAATGTGTTTTGTACAGGAGGTATATGGTTGACTTGAGTGAGGAAGGTGGCATCGAGAGCATAATAAAACAAGACATTTGGAAATATTTGGCGCAAGTTAGGCTCATACTGTGTACAAGGGAAAAAAAAAAAATGCTATCTCCTGCTCCACAACAAAAGGAAGCCAAAACACATCCCTTCTATCTGCAGCTACCAGTTAACCAGTACGTTACAGAGGACCCTATGAATATTTGGACGATGTGGGGTGAGAAATCAGTGCCTAAAATATTTTTCCATTTCAGCAAAGCAATTTCGAAGACTCCTCGTCTCCACCAAGCGCTGTTTTACAACAGACAAGCCCACACCATTCCAACTTTTTTCAGTTGTACTTTTACATTATAAATTATAATTTGGGCCAACGAGGGAAAAAACCAAAACAAAACGAAAGCAAACCTTTCAACTTAAGAACTAGTCATTAGAAGACTGGGTTATCAATGCCCTGCACCTGAACACCAAGTCCAGATGAGAAACTTTCCATCTGCGCGGTATTAGCCTGGTCAGTAGCTGTCACTTGGCCGACAGATAAGCTCTGGATAAAGCACAGCATGCACACTTCAGTCACTTCAGGAATGAGTAGTTGCAGGTGTTTTAAAGAAGAGATTTTGAATCCTTTGTTGCCTAGGCTGAAATGCACACACTTGACAAAAAAAGTCCATTTCTAGAAGTGGAATTTTCCTTTTTGAAGTCTCCAATTCTGGGTCTGTACGTTTCAGACCGTTTTCCCCAGTACTTCGGTAGCAGGGAAAATATTGGAAGTGCAATTCTAGGATAGCTTCTGCCCACTTTCAGTGTTCATGCTGACAATTGATTTTGTCTTCAGAATGCTCCAAAACATCAAGCATTTCTTCTATTATAGCCTGTAGCGCCCGACCCAGCTGTTCTGCAGTATATGGTTTTCCCAGCGGAGGCACGTGAACAAAAGCTGACCTCCCGCGGCTCTGGTACAAGGAAGTGTAGTAAGTGAAGTCACAGAGGTATCTGGAATACAAGAATAGAGCTTATTTAGCAACAAGTGACAAATACAGCGCACAAACTGCAGGACAGGAGGGACTGTATATTCTTATCATTCAGCGTTGCAGCAACATCTTGCAATAAAGACTGGAATACAAGCCAGGTATCACGAGTCTGACTGCTTTAATCAAATCTAGGACAAAGAAACATAAAGATCTCTCTTTTTCCCCTGATGATTGGGTGACCACTGAAAAACAGATGGTACTGCCAGCCCCACGAGAAGTGAAAAGCGTACGAATCGTACGGGCCTCACGAGTTGAGCAGGAAGGGAGCATGCACTGCGGTAGGAGCCTATTTTCCTCCATCGATCACTGGCATCCCGTACCTGCCGGCATCCTTAGATATGGTGACCGTGACATCCAGCCCCAGCGCCGAGACTCTCCTGCAAACCGTGTCCATGTCAATAATGGAATCGATGCATTCTGGGCCACCTTCTACGCAACACTGAGAGCCTGGGCAGAACCGGCAGTTGTCTAAGCCTTTGTAACCTACGTTATGGCCACACTTCTCCAGAGTTACAGTTGTAGCCATACCCGAAACACCTACATGAACCACCAACTGCAAGAGAAAAGAAACGAGTTAGATCAGCCAAAATACAAACGGTGGAGCATCAACATCCCACCAGTCCTGGTTAAAGACTGATGGCGTTGTTACAGGAGTTCTTGCATGAGTACCACGGTAACAAGTCATTTTATCACTGAACTCGTGGTCCAGTACAGAACAATTCTTCTTGTTTCACCCCCTCCTGGCCTAAACTGGAATTTACTCAGGGTAGAAACGAACGTTGGCACGTTCAGAGCCAAGCCCACCGCTGGAAGGGCCCAGGTGGCACAGACTAACCGCGAGCTGTCTAGACAGCCCTTTGCAGCGGCCTCTTCACACCGACTGCTCCCATTAATTGGAGCACTCTATTCTGAGCTGTAAAATTCTACAAATTCACGCGTTCTCACGACAACAGAGGAAAAGATCTAGTGAGGGACTACCAGGGCGAACATACATTAAAAATGGGACTTCACATTATGCTCGTTGCTGTAAGCATGACCGATTTCAACGATTTGCCCTGTCTGTTCTCCTCCTGCCTTTACTCACTCACTTGTGGACTGTGCTTTTTCCATAATGCAGGAATGAGCCTTTGCACTGTCTGGTATTCAACTGGGACTTCATAGACGTGCAGATCCACGTCATCTCGCAGTCCTAGCTTCTCCAGCTCCTAAGAACATAAGGAAATAAACAAAACCAAGATGGTCAGATGCAAGCTCGGCAGAGGATATACTTCCGGAAGGTTTAATGGCAGAGTGAGTCTGCTGTGAGGGACTAACATCAGCTGACGTTACAGGCTGTGTAACCTTGTAAACAGCAGTGTAAAAAGAAAAAAAATCATAATGGGGAACAACAACAGCATCTCACCACCTGCGTTAACAGTCTTCACCCACAGGACCGTTTGTTTTGCTCTGATGTGTGTATAACAAAGAAATCAACATTTAACTGCCAACAGTTATCAGCAACACCTACACTCAGAAGAAGGGTTGGCTACATTATTTATAGAGGTGTATAGTCACGTTCACTTCCTGAAAGAACTAAGTATTATGTAGAGAAAGCAGAATTGGGAGGATTATATTCATCGTCTAATCTGTCCTCTCTCAGGACTGCTGGCCTGGAGAGTAAATTCACATTTGTTTCCAGATAAAGAGCTCTCGGGGTTAGGTGACAGTACCACCAGGCTGCGATCCTACGTTTGTGAGTCTCCACAAACACCAGCAAACACTCCTCGTACGAGAAACTGAAGCAACATTGGCACATCCTCCTCAACATATTTGTCTTATTTTGGCAGAATCTGGAATACAATACAGCCTGCTTCCAAAATGGAAACCAGGTTTCCATTGCTAGCTTTACCTATACCTAATATATTGTACTTAATTTTGCAACATGAGCTGTTACCATTGTAGTGATTCAACTAATGCAGTAAATTATTTCTCCCTCTCTAACGTTAACTAAAGCCATGCCTTGAAAACATCCCAAATATCCAGGCAATAAACTTAGCCAATTTCCTTTAAACCTTTTAAAACAGAAAGTGTCGGTTAAATACCTTGCAAAGACTTCTTTAAAACCAGAGGGAAGAGGAAAGATCTTTTTTTTTCCCCCCAGTATACCTGACTGGAAAGCACAGTTTCATCCCAACGCTGTGAGCTCCCTCTACACACAGCCCATGGTCCTGGGCACCTCTCCCTTGCTCTTCTTTGGTCTCTGTTTCAACAAACTCCAGTCTCACCAGTAAGGCTTCAGCTCGAGGCTCATTTGGTGCTTCAGACTTTACCAGCCTAGCCCCAAACAGGACCTCCTCAGAAGTGAAACCTTTCAAAGCCATCAAACCCAAACTTTCAAGAACTCAAGGAAAGGATACACCCACCATGGTCTGAAGCCTCTGGAAAAAAAAAAATGTTCTTAAACAAAATCATCAGCTGAGCTCAAAGCTAGGAGCCTTGTGCAAGTCTACACTGGGAAGCATTTTTCCAGTGGCTGAAGTGGCTTCAGCTACGGTGTTTAATGAGTTCCAAGAGCACCTAACTCAGATCAAGTCTCCCTCTGATGAAGACGTTTTTTGGCACTTTACAGCTGCTTTTCAAGACTGTTAAGTGACTGTACATGCCATAAAGCTAACAGCCTTAGTCAGAGTCCTCCCATAGCGCTCTCTCCTCTGGAAGGAAGCTGCAAGTGCATCCTTCCTTCTGAAGACAGAAGGAGCCGTGCGCTCTTGCATCTCTGTCACCAGACCTGTGTTTCAGTTAGAAGAACCAACTCCAGCTTTCCACAAGTTAATACACAGCAGAAGCTGGTCGTCTGGTGCTGCTCTTCTCCTCCGAGATACATGTCAGTGGAAAAATGCAAGCTTACTCATGCCAAAAGCTTGAAATGATTACTTGTGCTAACATCAAAGGGGCTGCATGCACAGCAAGAAAATAACCTGCAACTCTCGCATCCATAAACCGCCGTAGTTGTTCTCATGGATCTGAGCTAGAAACAGCAATGTAAGAAGCCATCAAACTATCAAAGGACATTTCAAAATATTCTTGAATGATTAAGTTATCTCAATTTCAGGTTCGAATTCGGTGATCAGAGCCGAGAACTGCTCTTTCATGCAATTCTTAGGCTTTACGTTCCTGTGCACAGAGATCGTACTTGCAAACCACAGGCTAAGGAGTGCAGATTAGCTGTTTTCAACAAAGCTAACTCAATTTCAAATCTTATATTTCTCTAGGTTTAAAAGGAGAGGACAAGTTGAGGTTTTTGGACTCCCCCATTACAATCCTACCTCCTCTATATAAACATGAGCAGTATCTTGGTATCCTTCTTTTCTGTAGTTATCAGTACGAGTCGTTTCTTTACTGAGAAAAAAAAAAAAAACCAACCTTTCACACTTGTACGGACAGACCACAGACAGTGTAACAAGATTTAAGATAACTAAAACACGCAGCAAAGGCAAGAGTAAGACTTTCACGGACCAGCAGATATGAGCAACAACAATGATAAATCACTTGCTCTGGCTCTGAGGGCAAGTCTGATATTAAAGGCTTGCTGTATTGATTAGTGTCTGGCACACACAGACATTCATTACCAGAGATGGATGCTAAGTGATGTTTCATCACATCTTCTTTACACAAATCTGCCTTCAAAATGTTAGCTGGTTTATGTGGTGCGTTAATAAAGTAAGTAGTTTACAAATGAGAGTATTCAAATACAAGTCAGTCTCTTTAGGAAGATCTCCAGAACGTTAATTGGTAGGAATTCATCATCACTTCTCTAAAGAGTGTGAAACAGCTCCTAAAGATGAATTTGATCGTGGAAAGTTTTACCAGCTGTGCAGAACGAGCATCTACAGAGAGCAAGAAACCTCGGGCCGTATGAGCCGCACCGTCTCAGTGACAGCTACCTTCTCCAAACGCAAGCACACTAAACCTTACTTAACTTTACAAATTCACAACTTTCTTTTAACCAAACGCAGCATTTGCGCGCTTCCATTCAATAATAAAGATGTACGCTGGCCCCCAGACAATTACCCACAGCCTTGTATACCTGACAAATATAGAAAAACGAACATGTTTGACCGATTCCCTGACCCCTCAACAATGGTCGTCTTTGTGAGCCTTTAATATCCTTATCAGGTCTGTCTAGACACCCTGACAGCAATTGTCCTTAGTAATGTCAAAACGCACTCTGACCTCTCTCCTCCTCCTCCTCCTCCGGCTCAGCCAGAAGCACTTCAGGGGGATGAAGGCAGGAGCCCATCAGCTTCACAGTCCACGGGGCACACCTGTGTCTACACCTAAGACACACTGGGGAGGCCAGAAAATGCACTGAACAGAAAGCCCATTTCAGTAACTTCTCTTGAAAGGAAGGTCCCTCCCAAGCAAAAACTGCAGCTGAAAAAATTCCTCAAATGACATTAAAATGATGAAAAAAATGAAGCAAATCCACATTAATGCAGAATATTTGTACTGTAAGCCTTAAAAAAGAAAGCAGAAAGAAGTTATTCTTCACTCGGAATTTATAGGAAATCTCTCCCCCATGCGTAAAAATCTCCAAACATTTCATCTTCGCATTATTAGATCGCTAGCGCCACTATTTAAGGTACCCACGTGTAAAAATCGTTCAGCTTTCAAAAACAAACAGCTGTACTAGAAATTCACTGCAGTCAGAGGGAAAAGACACTCCGTACCCGTGTTCTATGTAAGAAGCCAAATAAAACCAAAAAGAAGACTGGAAAGAAAAGCAGAGAATTTTATCCTCGGGATGCAGGATAATAAAAGATGTAATAAACCAGAACTAGCTTAGCCCTAAAGCTAGGGAGGATTTACAAAGATTGTTTAATTGATTTTTCTTCTATTAAAATGCAGATCACACCGTCTGGGATTCAGAAACTCAGACACGCCTTTGTGTCCACTCAGCTCCATGAAGTCCCCTGTCTGAAACTTGCACAATGCCCAACTCGCATGTGCTCAAAGACATGCTGTTCCTTTTTGTCTGGGCCTCTCAGGGCTGAGACAGGGTAAGGAAAGGCAAATCCTCCCCGCTGCCTCAAAGTTTATGTTTTTTAGTTAGAAGCTAGCGCGAGCTATTAAACAGGACTCGGGAGGAAGACGGGCTCCGACGCAGCAGATCGCGCACCACCAACTCGAGTTTTATACTCTCAAAATACCCCCAAGCCCATAAAATGAATTTAAAATGCACGTGATTACTTCATCTATCAGCCGCACAGCTGAGCGGCCATCAGTGCCTCGAGCTGCCGGGCTGAAGGAATGACACGCCATTTCTCTTTACAGGAATTATACATTAGGTTTGTTTTTGTAAGCAACATCAGAACACCCACCACTCTTCCTGTCCCAGAAGCACAATACCCTTTTGTCTGTCTCCTCTAGAATAAAAGTAGCTTGTTTACAATAACTGACATTACACGAGTTAAGAACAAACCAAATCAATTAGCCTCACTACTGAATTTCAGTAACGTGCAATTTTTTTTCCACGTTACAAGTTTGCGTTTTTCCCCAAACTTAAGCTGAGCAAACCCTAACTCAAATATATTCATGTCCAAAAGGCTCTTGGAGGCAAAGGTTTCATCTTCTCATACCAGCCAACACATTAGACATCTGGACATTAGTTGGCTGTAATTGATTAGAGTTTGTGATTTAATTTAAAAGCATTCTGAAGAAGATATTAATCTCAGAGCTCTGAAGGGAAGAGAGATGTGTTGGGGAGAAAAATAGATTTAATTCCCTGGGCAACTGTACTAAAAGGTACCCTTGAATTCCCAGTAGCTTTGTCATAAACCACATCCAGAAGTGACAAACAAGGAAGAAGCGGGACAATGTGGCAGGACTGTCCCTAGTGTTTTGACAGCAAGCAACCCTAATTCCTTAGTTTAGCTGGGCATCTAGAAGGAGTTTGATTTCTTCTTCTTGCATCGTTTGTGAATATATCAGTGTTACGCAGACGAACACGTTCATGCAGATATGCAACTACTAGTGGCATAAACTTGATTTGTTCGAGCACGTACGATCTGCTCGAGCAATGATCCTCCAACGAGCACTCCTGTCTCCAGCAAGGTCCAACTCCATCAATCAAGCATCACTCGCTGCGGTTTCTCAGCAGAGAGGAGGCTGGCCCCGGAGCAACGAACGCTGCCCGATCGCCCCACGCCTCCGGCTTCACCCACCGCAGCCCACCGCTGAAAGCAGGCGGCCGCAAAAGGAAGCAAGGGGAAAGGAGGCAGTGGCGACTGCTTTGCTTTGGAGTCAGAGTCCTGACATTCAGACCCACGTTGGACAACTCTGCAGTACACTTGACTCCGCAAGACTACCAGGTGGAAGCCTCATTACGGATGAGACTTGGCTTAAAGGTTAACCAACTTGCCCAGATTCAAGCTAGAGCTGAGAGAAAAACATAAAAATTCCCCTGGGTTTGTTTGCTTATTTATTTTGAATTCTCTACAACAGAGGAAGATTCCAGGCTCCCTGCCCCATTTAACATCTTTCAAACCTAGGGAGTTAGCCTATGAATTCCTTACTTGCCTTAGCTACGTTAACTCAATCTCATTAAATTCTACTAGCTAAGGGATTGTTCTCCGAGAAGTGAATAAAACATTATCCAGCTGACCATCTGGATATCTGGAGCGAGCTGGTCTCAGTTAATAAACCGGGAAGACGAGTTATAAAAGAGCTGCAAACTAAAATTTGTACGGGTGTGTTATCAGCACGGCTCTCTGTTTTAACTTGCTCGGAACGGAGTTATAGCATTACCTGAACTGCAATCCAACTGGCGTTAACAGCGTGCTCTCCAAACGGACCAAACCCTGGAAGAGAAGCAAAAATCCACACTGATGAAGTCATCCTTACAGGTTTGACTAAGCTTAAAGTTGCAAAGCAGTCTGCGCTTTCCTGGTTTATAAATCCTGCGAGAAACCCCACTTCTAATGCCCAATCCTTATTTACTTTACATCCAAGTACTAAATAAGAGACCTTCACAGAAATATTTGAACTACACACCTTTTACTGTGAAGGAAAACAATAGCTTGCCTCAAAAGAAACTCTTTTTTCCCAGCAGACACTGGGGAAGCGTATTTTTTTCCTTCCTGACCAGGTCAGAAAAGCTTGTTATTAACAGATAAGTTGACCGATGTCACGGAATCGTTATTGGATTTTCTATTCCTGATTGTTTTAGCCCACAGCAGATGCTTCCACAAATGCGGACAAGCCTGCCTTGAATATTTCTTCTCTGCTCAGGTCTTCACCAAGATCTCTGTTAGGATTAGTTACGCCTTACAAGGAAATAAACAAAATGCCGCTGACAACCCACCTACGGCAAGCAGCAAAGGTTATGATAGCATTATCAAAAATACTTACTCACCACGTTTAAATTTCCTAATGAATAACTTAGAGTTAACTAGTAATCCATAACATCTTTTCCTGAGCAAGCACACAAAGGTTAGGCAATTTATCTGGGTGCAACGTCAATATGCTTTAATTTAAAATGTCAGAGTTACCCTATGCACCTAATGCAATTAGGAGACATAAATTTTGTCTAACTCGTGAAAGGATTTGAGAAGGACTACAAATATTATATGACACGTTAATGGAAACATTCTATTTGCTATCAACAGTAAGCCTGAGGTTATACGGCACACGACGATGGAAGGAATTTGCACAGCGTGGGCTCGGCCACGCTGATGGATCTCTTACAGTCTAACCAATGTCGATATCTCCCCAAAATAAATCTTCCGAAGGTTTCCACAAAATCAAAATGTAGGTGTGTTTTCCTGTGAGCAAACCTCCAATGTTACTAAGGCAATCTACAACTGCAGCACGGGTGAACAAGTCAAATAATCGAACGCCCTTCCAGTTATTTCTGCAAGTCAGGGATGTCCTACACGACTCTCTGGAAACAAACAATCACGACCTGCTAGGTTTCATTCCTAAAGAAACCACGATAGTCTTACAAAAGAAATAAAATACATCTATTTCTTTTTAACAATTCAGCCACTGGAAGGCTGCAATTCTACAGGTGCCCACGCACATAACGTAGCCCTCTTACTGTGAAGCCAAAGGCAAACTGGCACAAATACGACAGTGGGCTATCGCTCCTCTGACTCATCTCCCACACAGATCCCTCGTGTTATCTCTTTCGCAGAAGATAAGCAACTTTGTCAGCAGCATCAAACTCCACCGAGCATGCCCAGGAGTTCCTCCGCATCCACAATAGGGCCCTCCAAGGCTCATTAGCAGTAAACCAGCTGCAGAGATCTTTATGGGATTATCTCCTTAAAGAGTTCTAAAAAAGAAATTGCACACAGATACTACTTATCCTCAGCGAACACATGCTCGTAACTGAGCAGGAACACAATGCCATTCCTGACTTTAAAACGGAATTTAGCGTGACATCAATGACAGATTATCCATATGGGTAGACCTGACAAGATAACCACTGTATTTTAGAAACAGACTTCCCCGAAAACAGGGAAAAAAGAGAGAGGAGAAATATTGCAAGCAGCGGAGTATTTACTGACGCAAGTTTTCTGTTTAGTCACTGCCAAGTGCAGCCACTCAGCAATAGATATGGGTTTGGGAAAGCCAGAATTTGCCACCTGCTTCTTCGTTCTCCGCAACTGTTCTCTGCAAAGACACTTGCCTCCAATTAAAACCGCTCCAGCGCATCGACGACAACGAACCCCTCGCCCCCGCGCTCGCTATTCAAACAGCTTCAACTTCAGCTGCTGGGGGGGGAGACCTGAATAGTTTCACCGAGTTCCCCATTTGTCACAGAACTGCCTTCCCCACAAATCAAGCCGGCCGTCCTTTGTACCCCAGGGAAAGGAGCCTGACAAGCTCTCGCCTGCGACGCCGGGGCCTTTCATTCCCTCGCTTATTCTTCCCCGAGGCGCTTCTGCCGCGCTGCGTGGGTTATTTTGATAACAGCTTGGACACCTTGACGGCTCGGGATGGGGCGGTCAGCCAGCAAATGTTGTGTGTCCCCCTCGGCATGCTCTAACTGCTTTTTCCAGCTCCTTGGGAGATTCAGCCCCCTCCTTTCCCCAGCCAGCAAACCCTTGGGGAGGATCAGGGCTGGAAGAA